TTACCCAAATCGACAACAACAAAAGCGCAACCAGCTAGCTATCAGACTGCGATTGCCGCAAACCAACACCTTCAACAACACCGTACCGCTTCCGCCGCGTATAACAACAAAATCGGTTGCAACAGTCGCATTATACTTTTGGTTGGCCAATTTAGCCCAATTTCAGATTAATTAAAGCCCCAATTCAGCCCAATTTCAGATTAATTGAAGCCCCAATTCAGCCCAATTTCAGATTCATTGAAGCCCTAATTCTGCCATTGAAGGAGTGATGAAGGTAGGACGTTTGATGAGCTTCAAAGGAGGAGGAGAAAGAGAAAGAGGATTTTGAGTGGTGGCTAAGCTAGTAGGATTGGGGGGTCAGCATTTAGTGGTAGTTGACCTCATAATTGATGTGCATTGGTAAGAAAAGGGGATTAGTTGTGGGGCAGGGGAGTTGGAGTTGAGGTTGAGTATGGGGGATACAAAAGGTGGGAATTAGTTTTGGCTTGTGAGTTGTGGCTGTTGTTATGGACAGTGGAGGAGGGGTGGTGTTTGCGTGGGAGTTGGTGTGTGGTGGTAGGGTGGAGGTGGTTGACATGGATGGAGGGGGTGAGGTGAGATAAGAGATATTAAAGGAAAAAAAAAAAACAAAATTAGAAATTAGAAAGAAAAAAAATCTAACCTGTTTTACAGGTTAAAGGTAAAAAAGATCATTTTGAGAATATGAGGAACAAAGGTGTAATTATTTCTAGAATACGCAAAGGTGGGATTAGTTTGAGAAGATGTGCAAAAGGTGGGATTATTCTTTTCAATTTTTCCTTTTAATTTACACAAATACCAAATGCATATAAGTTATTGAATTTAATTTTATAAAAAAAAATGTAGTAATAGAAATTTAGAAGCTATAAGGTTTTACATAAGAAAATGAAAATATTAGCTTAGGTTATTATCCATATATTATGAACCCTTATACATTTGTCCTTATATTTTGTTGACACACTTTGACAAGTATAATATGATAATTTAGTTGATTTTATAGTATTTTAGGATAATTAGTATTCTGTAATCAACTTTTTTAAAAATATATATTTTAGCAGCAACTTTTTGGTGCAGCAGGTCACACCATGCAACAGGGGTAACCCGAGTTTTTCAGTCAGAGGTTACTTGAGTTTTTCAGTCAGGGGGTTACTTGGGTTTTTCTGTCAAGGGTTACTTAAGTTACTCGGTTAGGGGTTACTTGGGGGGTTCGGATAGGGGTTACTCGAGGGGTTCACTCAGTTAAGGGTTACTCAGCCAGAGGTTAGTCGAGTTTTTCAATCAGAGGTTACTCGAGTTTGTGACTCAAGTAACCCCTGACCGAGAAACTCGAGTAACCCCGGCAACTCGAGTAACCCCTGACCGAAAAACTCGAGTAACCCCTGACCGAAAAACTCGACTAACCCCTGGCCGAGAACATAAGTAAGTATCCCCCGATCCCCACAACTCGAGTAACCCCTGACCTAAAAACTCGAGTAATCCCGACAACTAGAGTAACCCTTGACCGAAAAACTCGAGTAATCCCTGACCGAGAAACTCAAGTAACCCCAGAAACTTGGTAGGAAAGATATGGATGGTTTTGGAGGCCAGGATTATAAGTGTTGGAATATGGGTTATTTTGCCTATAGGTTTGGAAAGCATTAACTTGCTCCATGGAACTCCTACAATCTTGCTCCTAATGTCCTACAATTCCACAATTTTCACAAAAAGCTTCATTAGAATTATTAACAGCAGAAATATTAGCTATAGAAGTAGGAATAGCAGTACTAAGATTATCTAATTTCTGGCTAATTGAAGTTAATTGAGCATGCAAAAAGGATATTGAATCGACATTATGTTTTCCTTTGTTTGCAAAGCCTTTAGGATTCCCGGCGTATTAGGAATTATGAATTTCCATCTCTTCGATAACCTCACCCGCATTTTCTACATATAGATTCATAAATCTACCATTATTAGCTGCAGAATCTAAAATTGTTCTGGATGAATTTCCAATCCCATTATAAAAGGCTTGCATTAACTGCCACTATGCTAAATTATGATGGGGGCACTCACTTTGCAAATCCTTGAATCTTTCCGAAGCCTCATATAGAGTTTTGTCTGGCTCTTGAGCAAAGTTTTGAATTGGACTCCTCAATAAAACTGTCCTTTCTGCAGGGTAATATTTATTAAAAAAAAAAAAAATCAAAGCAAGAGCTTTCCAGTCAGTAATACCAAGTGCAGTTCTATTCAATCCATTATACCACAATTTAGCTTTACCACATTAAGAAAAGGGAAAAAGAATCTTCTTGATTTAGTCTTGCGTGACCCTAACTTGCCTAATGGTATTGCAATACTAATATAAATCTGCAATATGAAGATTAGGGTCTTCATCCTTAGCTCCACTGAATTACTTTCTTTCAATCATCGTGATAAACTAGGGCTTGATCTCGAATTGCACTCCCTCGAGATATGGATTAGGAGTAAGATGTGGAAAATCCGTCAGGGATGGCTGCGAATGATCGCTAAGCTTGTGAGGTGGAGGAGGTGGTGGATATGCCATCTCTGATTCTGATTCTAAAGAAACTTCTTAATCGCTAGAACCAGATGGGGGTTCAAAAGGTGTATTACCCTCGGGAGTAGCTTGTACCTGTCTGAAAAGATTCTTCTGTCTATGAAAAGACCGTTCAATTTCAGGATCGAAGGGAATGTAACCTGATCTAGAACCCCCGGGCATAAACACATAACTAAAAAAACAAATATGAGAAAATTGTCTCAAAGAACTCGCGTTCTCTGAGACGGGAGAAAATAATTTAGACTACAAAAACGATTAGAAATAAAAATAAAAACGTTTCCCCGGCAACGACGCCAGATTTTAAGAGGATAAAGTCGTATATCCTAATCAAAATAATTACCTAAGTCCTCTAACTAAAGTAGATAGGGAAGTTGGGTCGAATCACAGGAAAACAAGTCTTTTTATTCCTAATTAATTAATATAATCTAAATTAATAAGTAAGCAATTTAATGATGTAAAAGGAATTAAACTACGGAGATTAAGTATAGGAAGAAATCAATTAATAAAAGCCTAGGGTATAGGTTCTCCAATAAATAAGGTTAAACATAATAATCAATCATCAATGAAATAATTAATCAGATCATAAAGGGCTTTCGCTACGTATTACAATCACAGAATTAATCTACCGGTATTAAATCGCATCTCTCGAATCTTGACTTAACCATTTATAAATTAACCTGCCTATTGAAACTAAGCCTAAATATCAATTTTCATTTTTGAATCTCGAATCAATATTACATAACTCATATAATTAAACCATGACCGATCTAATTGCATAACATTAAATCAATCAATAGGAAATTATCAACCATTGACAATTAACAAAAATAAATTACCCCTTCATATTATATATGGATCCCCACACATCTAGAAAATAATCTACTCACATATAATTAAATCTAAACTAATCAAAGCAATTAAATGAAACATGGTGAACAAAAGCATATAAATTATTGAAATTAAAAGGGAAGAAATCGTTACCAAAATTAACGGAAATAATGAATTGTGTAAAAGTCAAGAGTTGTAGAGAGAGAAATATAGAGAGAAGCCTAAGCTTAAGAGAGAATTTAGCTAACGGAAGAGAGGTAATTGTATCAAAACTAAACAAAGCGTATATATACAAAGCTTAAAAATCCTAATTAGAAACTAAGTAAAAATTATCGGAAATTGTCTCCCAAAACACGCGCCTAGCCGGGCGCCATCTCGCCCGGTCGGGCGCGCCTTTTTCTTCAAGGGACGTCTCTCGCACCCGGTCGGGCGCGACCTCGGGCGCAGGAGCATTTTATTGATCTTCCGCCACGTCCTTCAGGCGCACCTCAGGGTGAGGGTTGCCCGATTGGGCGGACTACTTGGGCATTGCTTAGGTTTCTCGTTTGGGCTTCAATTCTTAGCCCAATCCGGATTTCCTCTTTGGGGCTTGATAACTCGGTCCAATGCCTCGGGTTCTCGTTGGTCGAGCCCTTAATCCCTGGTTTGATGACTCTAACTGGCCTTGGGCTATGAAATATGGTCAATATCTTTAAGTGCTCGTAGTGGCTCCAATAATTCCGGGAAAAAGCTCCAAATATGCAATTTCCTACAAAACACTACCAAAACTACGAAGACACTAGAAAATACATATTAGTAATAAAAGTGGCTCTAAAGATCCAGAAATACTCCTAATTATGACCAAGGGACGGGGGTAAATCATATATAAAATAGACGTATCTCACGTCGAAGTCGAAAACAACGATGAGTAGTGTGGTTTGGAGTATTCAAATCTCGCAAAGGAGGTATTGTGACTGATTTAGGGGTGTATCAAGGATGTGTTTAGGCTAAGGCTAAGAACATTAGAATTAAGGAACTCCGGATATTTTGATGAGAATATGATAATTGTTGATAGGAATTGTTGATGGTTGTCCATAAGGATTGTTAATGGGAATTGTCCATGATTTGGATATGGAGAAAACGACCTCTATTTATAGGGAAAAAGAGGGTCTGGACGATCATAAATGACCATAAGTTCTAAATAAAATAGAATAAATTTTGACACGATGAAACAAGATTATCGAGCCGCGTTGGGAGCTGACGCGCCGCGTCAGGTTTGTCGATGTGCGATGGTCCTGCAGTTTTGCGGTTTTTGTTTTTATCATAACTTTTGATCCAGAAATCATAATAATATAAATAGTATAAAGTTGGAAAACTTTGGAATTCTACTTTTCAATCCAAATAGAATAAAAATGTTATCTTTTGTAGAATAAAAGATATGGCCGAAATAGTGGAATGGTGTCAGCTTTGGATAGAGTTTGGTATTTCGTTTATATCATTTTCGTTATAGCTCGGAATTGGGATCATCATATATCATTGGAAATCTTATTTCAAGGGATATCCAATCATCTAATATTTGGATAAAATTTATGAGGCACAAAAATTAGAATGGCTTGGTTTAGTATTCTTGCCATAACTTATTCATTTTAAGTTAGATTTAGACTTATATGGAAAGGTCTTTCAAGCCCTATCAAACTAACCAACAATTGGACTAATATTATGGACAATAATAATCTTGTTTGTACGTTTTTATGGATTGGACACAAAATGAATGATTTTGATGACGTGAAATGAATGATTTTGGGTTTAAAGGCACGAAATGAATGATTTTCGTCCAAAATATTTTAGGTAAGGTAAGAAATATGGTCAAGGCTTAACACACTTCGTGAGACTCTTCAACTCTTTACCAAACTCGTTGATCAAATCGTGACACGTACTCACCACTGGGTTTGGTTTTTGGGGAGATACAATTAGGTGTCTGCAGTTATCGGTTTTTTTTTTTTTTTTTTTTTTTTTTTTTTTTTTTTGTGTGTAAAGTATGTCATTTACACTAATTAGAATAAGTGTATCATTTAAATTACCATTTTCGCCAATGTATAACTTTAACCATTAATAAGTTTAGGTAGGGTATGGATGGTGGGTCAACATTGTTTTTAGATGGAATATAATATTAAGTATATATCATGATATTATCATGACAATATATTCTCTATTAAGATCATACCATTGATTTTATTAGGAAAATATCATCATTTAATTGTGTAAATCATATCATCTAATTTGTTTTAATAAAAATCATATCATCTAATTATGTATATAATATCCCTAGTTTTTTGGATATTATACATTCTCCCTTTCTTTATCATGTATAATTTTATCCTCTTTGTAATTTTATATAAGGCCATGCTTGGATAAAGAATAATGAATTCACAAAGTTTGTCTCACCCAACCATTGGTAAGACATGCATTTTTTGAGCTTAGCCCGTAGCGGCTGAGCCCACTTAACTGGCCTTCTTATTACATTAAAAAACCGTCAAATTTCTTCCACTTTATTCTCAAACTCTCTCACATTAAAACTAATTTTCCTCTCTCATTGAGTTATCACCTTCATTCTTCTCCATTTTCAACTTCATTTTCTTCTTTGGTTCTACTAATTACTTTTATGAAAGATTTTTTTTTATTTTATTTTATTTTATTTTATTTTTTTTTTTTTTTGCATTATCATTGTAAAAACAAAAAAATGAGGACGAAGAATGTTGATCGATCGCCGCCTAGGAATCTTGAAACTTTCGGTAGTGAAGACGGAAGTTCAAAACGAAAATTCGATTCAGAATCAAGGTATACATTTGAATATTTTTTTTAATCTTACTTTACAATGGAAGATATGCCACGATTTTTGGATGAAATCGATTATATTAATTTTGAATTTTTTTCTTCCATTTAAGGGTTTTGTGTCTAATGAAATTTTTTCCAACTTAAGGTCATGAAATTTTGATTTTTGAATGTTTTATATTTTTGAATATTTTTTTTCTTCACAGGGTTTTGAAGATATCTTCACTGCAATCAAGGATATATTGTAGGTGTTTGATGATTTTTTTTTTCAACTTTGGGTTTTAAAATTTTAATTATCAATTATTTTATACTCTTGGTTAAATATTTGTTTTTTATGCAACAATATGTTTTCTATAATAGAGGATATACTTTAGGAGGTAGAAGACGAACTATTGCATTTGATCTTTTCTTATAATTTGCAAAATATCTATTGTTTCTTTTCGAAACAATTAGAGGCTACATGTTCTAAAGGTTTTTCCGGTAAATTAGTTCCTCTAAAATAAACTTTAGATTCAAAATATAGGTATGTTTAATCCATTAGATCCTGTGTTTTAGGCTTTTTACGAAACTTAATGTTTAAATGATATCCTCTGTTTTTAGGGATGTCCTTAGTCTAGTGCCTTCAGTTAACCATCTTTTGATTTAAATTAAATTTATGTATTTATGATGTTTATTTTATATCTACATATTGTTTCAGTAAATTTGGAAAGAATTCTCCTAGTAAGAAAACTAATGTTCCTACTGCAAAGGTTGATGATGAATTAAAAGTTCCTATAAAAAGAAGAAAATTGGAGAAAGAACATTTTGATTTGAGGTATTAGATTTTAATTTCTATATGTTATGTATTAAATGCATTTTTTTTTTAGTAATTATTCTAATTTGACATGTATAAACTATTTATTAAAACTTATTCTGAAATAAAAATTTGATATCATCAATTATGTAGATGGTATCAGCGTTTTTAGCAGTCATATCCTCAGCTATCGAGTTTATATCAATGAATATTCTATATCTTATTAAAATGGGACTGATATCTTATAGTGTTTTGTTTCTATACTATTTTTTTTTATTTAATATTTTTATTTGCAGTGATATTATTCCAGAAGATATGTCAGATGTTATAATAGCTAGTCAGTCTAGTGCTCCTTCAATGACATACTTTATTAATCTTTTAAGTCCACAACAAAGGGCCAATGTTGAAGAAATTGGATTTGGGGGATTATTGAAGATGAATTTGGCGAAAGATTTTAATAGTTGGAGATAATAAGATATCATTCAACAGCACTGATTTGCATAATGTGCTTGGGATTCCTCACACTTCTACTCCGGTGATTGAGTTGTCTAGATTGAAGTCTGATTCTAACCCAGATAAGCATATAATTTAGGAATGGAGGGATTCTTTTGGCTTAGATAATGTTGTGGATGAAACTAATCATGAAACTAAAAATATTAAGCAAGTTAAAAAGAAGTTCAATTTTGCATCCGAAAAAGGTGCTTTGAAGATTGAAGAACTTGTTGAAAAAGGTAATTATCTTTTTGGACATCACACATCCTCTTTCTATATAGTTATCCTCCATGACTCATTTAATCTCTGATGTGTATTTCATATCATTCATGCATTAATTGTTATTTTAAAATCTTATTTTCTACTATATTAAAATTTCATTCGATGATTTCCTTTATTTTGTTGAACATGTCCTTATTTCTTTAAATGGTATCAGCTATTTAATAAGTTATGTATTCTATTCATGGATAGTTTGATAGTTTTTATTTGATTGATATCCTCAATCTTCTCAATTATGACCCCAGTCTAGTGAATCAAATCCTTTATTTTGATTATGATATCCTTAATTGTTGTAACCATGCTTTTTATTTAAATAATGATATCTTCTGTTAATGCACATGATATCTTTTTATACATAAATTATATCTTAGATTAATCTATCCTCTTATTTTATTTATCATTGTGTATAACTCTAATTTACTTATTTATTTATTTATTTTATAGTTCCTACAAAATCGTCTACATCAAAGAAGAATGTCTGATGTTGAAAAAAAGGGTAACTATTTATGTCTTGATATATTTTAATTTTTCTTTGAAAATAATATCATCTATCTAATTATGGTTTTTTTTTTTTTTTTTTTTTTTTTTTATATCTTGCATTCTAATTTTTTTTGCTCAATATTATTTAACAGATAAGACTGTGACTAAAAAGAAATATGTGACTTTGGATGTTTGGAAAGAAAAGTTTATGGAATTAAGGAATGGTGGAGATGAATTCAAAAAGATTTTTGTGTTGTTTGCGATTTCTAATTTTTTATCACCTTATGGTGATAAGTCTCTCAACCTTAGTGCGGTTAAGTCGTTATCTAATGTTAAGAATATTAAGGATTTTGATTGGTGTGGATTTATTATAAAGAATATGTGTAATTCAATTAAGGAATTACATAAGTATTTGCTTGATAAAAGGAAGCGGCCTACTACTACTGTATCTAAGGGCCAAAATCCCACCAAATTTGTTAGAAAAATTGGCGGTTGTTTGCCAGCTATGTTGGTGACTTTTGTTCAAAAAGTCCACTATGGAGAGTATGCAGGTGTTAAGTTACCATTTATCAGCAACTGGAATTCTGATACTTTAAATGCTCGAATCAAGGCACAAAATAAAGACCGTTCTCGGTTTGGTATTGGTATTGTTAAGCAAGATATTGTTCTTTCTTCTGATGTATTATATGAAAATTCGAAGGCACATGAAGCAACTGAAAAGGTTGTGCCTTTAGCTCTGGAATATAAAAATGAATTGCGAATTTCAAGTGAAGATGAGTCAACATTGTATGTGCAATACAAGATCCCTAATGATCTTCAGACAGATAGAGAAATCCAGTCTATGGATGTTCCAGTAAGTTTTTCTGTGTTGTTTTACTATACTCTTATTATATCATTTGTATAATGTATGTTAATGTGTGTTTAAATTATATCCTCATTTTATATTATCATGGCATTAATAAAATCTTACTATCCTCCGTTCTAATTATGATATCCTTATCCATGTTCATCATGTCCTTTGTTCTGATAATGATATCCTCACTCTTGTTATTCATGTCCTTTGTTCTAATAATGATATCCTGATTTTTTATAAATCTTTTTGTTTGATAGTTTTTTTTTTATTAAAATGATGTCCTCATTTTACTTATTTATGATGTCATGCAACCTAAACACCTAGTTAATCTTATCCTATGTTTTAATTATGATATCCTTATGCATTTTAATCTCATACTCTAATAAAATAATGATACCCTCGTACCGCTCTCTATTATGATAATGATATCCTCAATTAAATAGGTTATAATTTTAATTAAATTGTGCCCTTCTTGTTATTGATTATATATGTTGATTTTAAATGATATTCTCATTCCATCATATGAGATCGGATCTAATAAATGTTTTTTTTTTTTTTTTTTTTTTTTTGTGTTTTTAATAGAATACCTTTTTTTTTTTAAAAAAAACATTTTTAATTTCTTCTATGTGACTTATTAATATCATTTTCAGGATGTTGAAAAGAAGTTGATGGTTCTTCATCGTAATATGAAGATTTCTTCATCTGTTAATCTAAGTTTGATTAAGGAACTTTAGAAAGATGCTGAAATATTATCACAAGAAGCTTCTCAGCCAGAATCAAATTTTGAAATGAATGATGAATTTCTTGAGATGTTGGATTCTATCACAGAAAATTTGATTCAAGTGAAAAAATTGGTTGATAAGAAGAAAGGATTTCCTGTGATGATTGACAAAGTTAAACAAATTTAATTTTTTTTTTTTTTTTTGTAATATAAATTTATAATATATACATTTTTTTTTAATTATTTTTTAATGAATTTTTTATAATTTAATTAATCATTACTTTTATTACTTGTTCTTTATTTTGTAGGGTGGTTCACAAGTATTTTCTGATGATTAAAAACACAGAGAATGAGAGATTGGTACCCAACCTAGCTAAGACCTAGCCATCAAAAGCTATCCATTAGAAATATACCTTTTTCTTGTAGAGTTAAAAGTAAAAGTTATGTAGAATACTCTTGCAATTGCATTACTCATTGCTTAATCTTGATTTGTGAAAATTGTCTTGCTTTGATTCTAATCCCTTCATAGACTTTTTAAAAATTTCAAGAATCCATTGAAGTGATTTTGTTGTTTCATTGGTTATGAAAGCACTACCGAACATTTTTGTTCTCCAATAATTGTCTAATCCACAAATGAAGCACATATTAATCCACAATTACTTATCTTATTTGGTGTCAAAAATATTGATATCTCCAAATGCTTATTATCCTCTTACATCAACGAATCACACCAAAAGTAACTCACAATTTGATCAACTTTACCAAACTTCAATATGTAAAAAAAAAAATTTAAAAAAATGGGTATGCATCATCCTTCAACTCTTTGTGCTTTATATATAGTGACATAATTTAGGAAGCCCTCTCATGGTTTCCCTCATAACTTTCTCTGATCCTACTTCATTTGTAAGAAAAGTGTAGCAATCTATTAGTTTGATCACATTCTCAATCATCTTTTTAATGAGCTTTCCCATTTCTTCCTTTATATTTCTTTCAGATTTTAAATAAGGATATCTTAGGCGCGAAAGGATTCACTAAATTATTACTGTGCTCTACATTATGGTGAATAACATAGTACTCACCAATTTCTTTTCTCTTGAATCTTACTATAGCTTTACAACCAATTCTAACAGATCTAATTTTCCTCCTTCGATCTATGATGAATTTAAGGAATATTATTATTTTCTCTTCTTTTTCCGTCTCTCTATATCCACGAATCCCTCATTTGAACAACAAAGTAACATTCGTTAATTTTTCATCACTCTTACTTCTTCTAATAGTAGTTTTTTTTTTTTATCACTATAGCTCTAAATGAGCTTTGTACATATGCAATGCATCTTCATGATCATCAGCTCATCCCATCAATGATAACTTATTTTTTTTTTTCATAAGTATCATATTTAAATTAATCAAACTCTACCGTTTTATATAAATATTTAGTTTATTGACTCTGTAATAATATATACAATTATGATATATAATGAAATGATGATATCTTCTTTAAAATGTATGATATATGTACTATAGGAAAGAGGATATTAACATTGTATTAATATTAAATGATCTAATATCCCTAGTTAAAGTAATAAAATCGTTGGTTGTAGAGAATTATACTACCTCCAATTCATATTTTTTGCAACAAAGAGATATTATTTGTAAGATATAAAAATAAAATTTTGTAGCAAATAATATAAAACGGAAGTAGAATATTATATCATTAATTATAGTAATTATATCAGCGGTTGTAGATATAAATCATATCCTCAAATAAACTATTTATGTCATTTACTTAGACTATTCAATGACATTTTTTATTTTAGAAGTTATACAAGATGATATCATATATATCTCTGTCGTTATTTTTAACAGTGCGTTTCTGGTGCGGCCAGCCGCATCATGCGACAGGGTGCCAAATCAGCAAATGAAAAAATAACCCTACCAACCTAGTATCCCCTCCAACCAAAGTAATCCTTGACCGAACCTTGTAACCCCTTACTGGACCTAGTAACCCCTGGCCGGACCAAGTAACCCTTGACCGGACTAAGTAACCTCACAAGTAACTCCTCCGACTTAGTAACCCCTGACCAGACCAATTAAGTAACCCCTCCGACTTAGTAACCCCTCACAAATAAACCCCTCCAATAGCCCCTCAAGTAACCTCACTTAAATAACCTCCCAAATAACCCCCAAGAAACCCCTTCAAGTAACCCCATTTAAGTAACCTATCTAATAACCCCTTAAGTAACCCTCGACCTACCCATCTAGTAACCCCTTAAGTAACCCCCAACCTAGTAACCCTTGACCCACCACCACCCCTAAAATGCCACTAGCCCCACCCCAATACGCCATGCGACTGCGACCACCATACACCAAACCCACAAACAAACATAGATCCAACTGAACCCATACCAAATCGTTAAAAAAAATTAAATCGAAATACCTTTAAAATTAACAATGACTTTGAATTTCACTTCAAATATGGCTAAAAAGGCCAAATTCGATCATGAAAACTCTATATCTAGAGTTTTTATGGCTGAATTTGGCCTAAAAGACCTTTAAGTTTTTTCCGACCCGGAGTACGAGTAGTTCACAGAGTACGACAACGAGTTGGTGGAGGACATGCGTTCTTCCTTTGTAATTGCAGGTGGTTTGTTTTGCAAATATGCTGCTCTTTTTTAGAGAAAAGAGGAGAGATAAAGAAGAGATAGCTTGGTGAAGGGGGTGATATGGGTGGCAAACTGGAGAAGAATAAATTAAAAGAGGAAAGAGAATGAGGAGATAGAGAAGAAGAATTAAAAAATTAAAAAAATTATATTGTGGCTGGTCCTACGGTGCGGCCAGGCATATATGAAACTTTGTGTATTTTTAATTACGAGGAATGATATCATTTAAAATTAATTTAATTTTAGCAGTTAGGAGTTGTATTATTATATATATTTAATTTTGTATCTTATGAAATGATGATATCTTTTATTTTATATGATGATATGTAATTATGTATCATAAAATAGAGGAAAGTATGCAGGTTCACCAATAAAGCGGGGAATTAAGGAGAAAATACCTGGAAAATGCTCGTGAGCATTTAGAGGGATGGCGAAAACAGCAATCCACATGAAGGAGGGCTTCTGGTATAAGATAGGAAGAGGTCGCGATGTGAGAGTTGAGGGGGATAAGTGGACTGTAGCAGGGAGGGTGAGCATGAAGGATGGAGTTAGCGAGGAGGATAGGAGGAATTATGGAAGAGTGTCTGATCTGATTGATGATAGAGGAGAATGGAAAGCAGGGGTAATTTGAAGAATCTTTGGCACGAAAGATGTGAAACACATCCTTTCCACTTACCCAAGGCATGAGTTGGATGATGAGATCCTTTGGGGAGAGATAAAGAATGGTGAGTACAATGTGAAGAGATACATATGGTTGGAGGGGTATCGGGATGGAGAGAAAGGGCCTCAATTCTAGAAGGAGTATTGGAAGTTGTGACTACTGATGTGTCTATTTTATATAGTATCTTACCCCCGTCCCTTAGTCATAATTAGTAGCGTTTTTGGCTCTTTAGAGCCACTTTTTATTACTAATTAGTGTTTTCTAGTGTTTTTGTAGTTTTGGTTGAGTTTTGAAGGAAATTGCATTTTTGGAGCATTTTCCCGGGATTTTGGATCAACTACGGAAATTAGAGCAGCACGACCATCTTTGAAGCCCAAGGCCGGTTAGAGACATCAAGCCGGTGATTAAGGGCTTGATAATCGGGATACCGAGGTATTTGGACCGAATGATCAAGACCCTATGTGGATATTTCGATTGGGCCGAAGAAATAAGCCCAATCGAAGTTCCAAGCCTCGAGGTGAAGCAAGAGCCCGATCAGGCAAGCTTAGCTCGATCGGACGTGGCGCGAGAGTGCGCTGGTGCGTGACCAAAGGCGCGCCCGATCGGGTGAGCTGCTAGCTCGATCGGGCGCGGCTGTTTAGAAGAGTACGTAGAGAAAAAGGCGGGCCCGATCGGGCGGCCCTTCGCCCGATCGGGCACATGTTTTTTAGGGGATCTGATTAGTTTTCAATTAGGATTTGTTTTAGGGAGGTTTAAGTAAGATTTTTGTACGTAATTTTAATCACCTTCTCTTTTAGATTTTCTCTCTCTACTTAGCTCTTAGATTAGTTTTCTCTCTTATACTTTGTTCTTAACTCTATTCTTAATTCTAGATTTTCTTTGGTAACAATTTCTCTTCTCTTAATCTTAGTTATTTATTTTATTCCTTTGATCATGTCTTGTTTTATTGCTTTGATTAGTTTAGTTTTTATTATGTGTGAGTAGTTCTATTTCTAGGGTTTATGGGGATCCATAAATAATATGAAGGGGTAATTTATTGTTGTTGATTATCAATGCTAGATTAATTTCCTATTGTTTAATTTAATGCTCTGTGACTAGATTTGCGCAGATCTTTTATGCATGAGTTTGACAATATTGATTCGAGATTCGACAGATGAGAATTGATGTTTAGGTCTAGTTTCAATAGGCATGTTAATTTATAAATGGTTAAGTCGAGATTCGAGAGATGAGATTTAATACCGGTAAATTAATTGTGTGATTGTAATACGTAGCGAAAGCCCTTTATGATCTGATTAATGTATGCATTGATAATTGATTATTATGTTTTACCCTGGAATATTATTTATTGGTGAACCTATGCCCTAGATCCTTTTATTCATTGTTTTCTCCTTATTCTTAATCTTCGTAGTTTAGTTTCATATCCAAATTTACATATTGGTTACTTTATAATTTAGATTACTTTAATTAATTAGGAATAGAAAGACTCGTTTCTCTGTTGATTCGACACTACTTCCCTATCTACATTAGTTAGAGGATTTAGGAATTAATTTTGATTAGGGGATACGACTTTACCTTGTCAAAATTTGGCGCCGTTTCCGGGGAAACGGTTTTATTTTTATTTCTGATTATTTTTGTAGTCTAGGTTATTTCCTTTTTGTCTCAAAGAACGCTAGTTCTTTGAGGCAAGTCTCATATTTGCTTTTAGTTTTTTTTTATGCCCAGGTGTTCCAGATCAGGTTACATCCCATTCGATCCTAAGATCGAACAATCCTTCCATAGACAGAAGAATTTCTACAAGCAAATTCTGGCGGATTCTGGTGATAATAATAATCACCGAGATCCTCCAATTGGTTCTAGCGATTCAGAGGTAACATCAG